CTCATAACTTCACAATCTGCGTAAGAAATTCGCGTTTTTTTAAGCTTTTCGCTTCAAAAACGATACTACGGCATAGGTGAACATTTTGTTAGAGGAGTCGCTCCATCGTCGGCGATATTCATCATGGCCGACGCTTGCACGCAGTTCCGCGCGTAATTCAAGGAGAGTTCAAGGTCAATCAATTCGGGCGTGGAAAATATGAACGTTAACACACCGATTGTTATCTGGTCTAATCCAGTTCAGGTGTTATCTCGTCCCATCAAACGTGTTTTGGCGGATTGGCGTCGGCTATGATGATTATTGCCGACAATGGAACGACTCCTCTTACAAAATGTTCACCTGTGCCGTAGTATCGTTTTTGAAGCGGGAAGCTCAAAAAACCGCAAATTTCTTACGCAGTTTGTGAAGTTATGAGTGCATTTCAGAGTTTGCCGATGCGCTCATCGTGATTTTTGAGGCATTATCTATAAGAAACAACTCTTAGTTTTGCTCTAGCAAAAGTTTGCAACAGGCCCATTTGTAATGTCAGGTGTTCGGATGAGGATGCCAACCCCTTCTCGTGCAAGGAGATGGTTTTTGTTTTTCAAGAAAAAACGGAGAAACCCGTTAAAGCTGCGTCTCATTGAGTTATTTCTTATACATTTGCTTTCAGTTCTTCTATATATTCTTCTTTGTCGTCTCCTTCTTCTCCACTTCCTTTCGCTTCGCCTTTTTTTTCTTTTTCTCATTTGTGTCCTTCTCCTTATTAAATCAACAATTTTCTAATCAATTTATCAGCCACATGGGGCAAAAACTACTATGCGTTTCTGAATCATTATCATCTGTTTTCCGTATTTATTATTCAACTATTTTTAAGTATTTCGGTTTCGGTTTCTCTCTTCCTCCATTTCCTCTTCTTTTCCTCATTCTTCTTCTTCTAACATTCCTTATGCTTCTTCTTCTTCTTCTAACATTCCTTATTCTTCTTCTTCTTCTAACATTCCTTATTTTTCTTCTTCTTGTAACATTCCTTATTCTTCTTCTTCTTCTAACATTCCTTATGCTTCTTCTTCTTCTAACATTCCTTATTCTTCTTCTTCTTCTTTTAACATTCCTTATTTTTCTTCTTCTTCTAACATTCCTTATTCTTCTTCTTCTTCTAACATTCCTTATTTTTCTTCTTCTTCTAACATTCCTTATTCTTCTTCTTATTTTAATCATAATTCTTCATCTTATTTTTCTCATTCCTCTAATTGTTTTCCTTCTTCTTCCTCCTCATTTTATTATTTTCTTCTTCTTACAATTATTAATTTCCTCCTTCCTCTCTTTCTTTTTCTTCCCCTATTAGCCGTCGTCGTCCCTTCCGTTTCCGTAACTTCCTCCGTGTGCAACGCTGTGCTCGAATCTTTCACGAGTGAAGGAACTTAATGCGGGCGAGAGCCGGAGTCAGTGACTTGCTCAGGGTGAAAATGAATAAGAATGAGCACGCGACATCATCATTATGCGTTTCTGAATCATTATCATCTTTTTTCCGTATTTATCTTTCAACTATTTTTAAATGTTTCGGTTTCGGTTTCTCCCTTCCTCCATTTCCTCATTCTTTTTCTTCATATTTTTCTTCTTATTCTTCTTCTTCTTCTTATTTTAATCATAATTCTTCTTCTTATTCTTCTCATTCTTCTAATCGTTTTCCTCCTTCTTCCTCCTCATTTTATCATTTTCTTCTTCTTACAATTATTAATTTCCTCCTTCCTCTCTTTCTTTTTCTTCCCCTATTAGCCGTCGTCGTCCCTTCCGTTTCCGTAACTTCCTCCGTGTGCAACGCTGCGCTCGAATCTTTAACGAGTGAAGGAACTTAACGCGGACGAGAGCCGGAGTCAGTGACTTGCTCAGGGTGAAAATGAATAAGAAGAGCACGCGACATCATCATTATGCGTTTCTGAATCATTATCATCTTTTTTCCGTATTTATCTTTTCAACTATTTTTAAATGTTTCGGTTTCGGTTTCTCCCTTCCTCCATTTCCTCATTATTTTTCTTCATATTTTTCTTATTATTATTCTTCTTCTTCTTATTTTAATCATAATTCTTCTTCTTATTCTTCTCATTCTCCTAATCGTTTTCCTCCTTCTTCCTCCTCATTTTATCATTTTCTTCTTCTTACAATGATTAATTTCCTCCTTCCTCTTTTTCTTTTTCTTCCCCCTATTAGCCGTCGTCGTCCCTTCCGTTTCCGTAACTTCCTCCGTGTGCAACGCTGTGCTCGAATCTTTCACGAGTGAAGGAACTTAATGCGGACGAGAGCCGGAGTCAGTGACTTGCTCAGGGTGAAAATGAATAAGAAGAGGACGCGACATCAGCGTAAAGGATGCCCGAGGGAACGCGGTCGCTTTCAATTTCCCTTGACGAGACGTCACACGCTCTGTGTCGCACCCCGACCACCCCGGTCCCCGGTCGAGGCCCCCCTACCCCACTCGGCCAACTGTCCAGAAAACCCCGTCCAATTGCTCACCTCGCAGTTAAAACGAGATGTCCAGAAAAGGAACCTTTCCCGTTTATCAAGTCCCGCTCCGAGAAAAAACATTGAAAAAGACAAGTCGGAGGAGTCTAACGACGGTTGGGGGGATTTTTAAGCTTCGAAATACACGGGGAAATAGGCGTTGGTTAGATTTTGTTCGAGGTCAGTTTACAAACTTTGTAGCGCTAAAAACAAGTTTTGCTGTTGTTTTCGGAACGTTTTGTTCGGATCTTCAAGAAACAAACTGTTGACAAAATTTAAAGACTGTTTTCTCATCAATTTCAGAAAATGATTTTGGCATTCATGGGTCTTAAAAATGACCTCTAGGAAACAAGTTTTTATGCTTGGTTTAGAACACCAAAAAACAAGACATCTAAGATTTTTGTTTTGAGAAATGCCTACTTCAGGGTTTAAGCTTATTTTCTTGACCGGGCATGATTGTTCAGTTGCGTCTCTCTACACCGAAAACTACAAAAAAGAAGAAATAAAAAAAAAAGAAGAAAAAAAGTACTTTTAACCATTTTAAGAAGAAATGATTCAGTACCATTTTCAACAAATATTTGAAAACATTGAAAAAAAAAAATTGTTTCAATATTTTTTATAAACTTTTCACAACTGATTTTACAAAACCTTCCAAACATGTGGAAAACAGGATGTACGCACTCCAATTTTTTGAAAATCATCACTTAAATATCAACAAGACAAACATCAATTTCACCGATCAAAATACTCTGTATATCTATCCCGTAGATTCTGATTCATTAAACCATAAGTCACGACACTGAAAAAAAAGGTATGGTAACATGTACTATGAGTCTACTTGATATTTTACACAGTGCGTGATACTATTTGGTAAAGACAACCAGACTTAAAGTAGTATTCGTCAGAACTCTAGTGGCTCTTAAAATAACTTAGTGAATGCAACCATAGAATCTGGTGTTTTTTACCATACTCGTATCACTGTGTCAGAGTACATGGTAAAATCTACAATATGTTCTTTCAGTGGAAGATAGACGGAATTTTCCTCCAATACAGCCTATTTACCAAAGGTCCCCTCAACCGCGACTGGATGCACATTCATAACTACCCCTGAATTTAGATTTGTGAGTTACGGAGGGAGTTTCATTCTTGTTGTTGGTTTTTCCAACATTTTTCGAGTATTTATTTGAGGCGCGCGCGTCATTTTCTCGGAAGTTGGGAGCACCTGAGGACCCGGCAGGAGACCGCATGCTTCCCTGGGTCTCCGGGAGGCTTTGAATATTTAAATGATAGATGAGAGACTTGTCAAACTTTCGGCAACTCCCGTATCAAGCAGTCTTCACGAGACTTATTCATACGTCCTCACGACTCAACTTTTAAAATGGGAAACGCTGCGACAACGACGGGCTATGTTGTCAAATGGTGCGGACGATTCCATTTGGACCTAACTCTGTCAGGTGGTCTTAAGTCTTCGCACTTGAATCTCTAACTCTCAACATAGAAATTAGGTAGTCATTTCTAGTTGCACCGATTAACCTAAGACAATAATAACTGCACTGCAAGAAAAAAAGATAGGTATGTTTAATGGATTTGAATGGAGAAAATACAGTGTTGCCAACATTGCGAGAACGACTAATGGTCATGCCTGAGTGTGTTACGCATTATATATAGGTACATGAACGGTCCTTAATCTCACAAACTCGGATTCTCTTAGGAGCTTTCCTCGGCAAAAAATATAATTTCATAAGAATAATTTTATCTTCATCTTGTATTACTTAAAATTTAAGATTGCGATTTCATTGAAAATGGTGTTTACAATAGTTTATCGCGACAACTTTCACCAAAAGCAGCCTCCATGCTAATGATGTCTAATTTTTCCCCTGTGTTGTATTATTTTTTTTACAAAAAACTTTACGGTGCCTGGATATTTCCGACAATTTCCTTCTGATTAAAAAGAGTAGACGTTCAAAATGAGGAATGAATGTCTCAAAGTCTAGTTTTAAAAAAGCAAAACTTATGACTAAATTAGGTAGGTAGCTTTGATGTGGTCAGCTAGTCCAGTTAATGACATCCAATTTCTGTACACTTTTATGCTTCAATTTTGGCATAAAAACTTGAGACAATAAAGAGAATGGAAAGCTTCATTACATTTATTTTGGTTTTTATCTTCTGTAATCGCTTGATTGTTTGAACAGACCCTTTACTGCATGTGAAAACCGGAGTCACACAAATTTTAGAATTAATTAAGTTATAAATATATAATGCTTCTCAACGAAAAAGCTCCATACTAGGCACAATTATGAATACAAAATATTTATAAAAAATGACTAAAAAAGAGCTGTACAATTTCTCTTACTCTAATTGAAATTTTTGAACTTTTTGACTGTGCTTTTCTTTAGTGTGGGCCCAGCATTTTACCACCTAGTAACGTATAGCTCGGGCCACACTTTCAGTGTTCGTTTTTTTTTCTTTCTTTCTTTCTGTCTTTCATAATGAATCACTAAATGGTTATCTATTTGTTACAGAATTAACAGATACGGAGACGGTAGTGGACTACATCCGTCGAAAATCACCAGTTTACCCGGAACTGTCCGGCCGCGTTAAAGTCCTTAACTTGAGCGACCCCGTCAGCGGCAGTTCTGTTCTAACAGTTAGCCTCTTACTCTTCCTATCCACTCTTTTCCTTACTTCTTACTCTAAATAAAACACATGTTTTAACTCTTTTGCGGCGTTTTATTGAATAATTATCGGTCACCACACTGCCAGTAGGCTAGAAAAAATCAGAGAATGTAAAACAAATTATACCACATAGCTTTGTTTGTAAGTTGGGAAAAAATTAATTCTCTTCATCACAAAATTCGTAGTTTCCCTCACGATGGAACAAAACTCCACTTCAATGTTGCCACATTTTATTGCATTTTTATTAGGCAAACCTTGGGAATTTCTGGCTGCAAATCTCACTGACTTTTCTCGTGACCTCTTGTAAAACTTAGGACAATTTCCAACAGAAATTGCATCGGTACTGGTATATTATTGTAGAACATCGAATGGATTGTTTCAATTTTGCAACCTTGCAATGAAATCACGTTACTTCGTTCGGCAAATGACGAATTGGAGAAAATCATATAACAATTTATCTGTATTTAATATGAGATGCAGCTTATTTGGAGTGTTCAATATATGTAGTGAGACAGTAACATAAATTTTCCACTATTTGACAGCTACCCTCTTCTTAAGACTCAACTGTAGAACCCCCTTCCCCGCATAAATTGGTGCAATACATGATCGGCTTCTGTGATTAATGCATACCTTGCAACAGGGTCTCAATAAAAAATCCGTCTCACGATAAATTTCGCAATTAGCCTAATTAATTTTGTGTCAGAAATGCCGACCTCACAGATACGTCAAACGTGAGTAAATTGTGAAAATTGGCTCGAAAGAACTGTTATGCCACTCACCTTTATTTGACATAAATGATTCATCTGAAATAAAGAATGTCCACTTTTTTTCCTTCCTCGAAGAATCCTCACACAATATAGTTTTGTGGAAACTTCATGCAACTTCAGCCTTGTACGGTGGAAAGAAATCTTGGATTGTTTGAAGGGATAATAATCAATATAATGATCGAATATGAAACTATACATAAGACTCACCGCGTCACGACTTGAGACATGTTTTTTTAACCTCACCATCGATTTACCCTGGAACACAATAAAAACATGTTTTTGAGTCAACTTAGTAATAACTTAATCTAATGTATTTCCTTAGCACACACAATATCGTTCTCGGAAAAACCGAAGTGAAGCAGGCCCTCCCCGAAGTATATACTCAACAAATTCGAGAATTTCCCGCCGACGTAATTTCAGCGAACGTGGCAAAGGGATACCGGTTCGTTAGATTTGGCAACGTCGCGTTGTTTACCCCGGTTTTTTCGAGCTCTCATCAATCTTGTCGAATCTACTGACAGATCAAGTTGTTCGATGCTCTGTGTGCGGTTCTCGAGGAGGTTTCCGAACTTAGTTCCGACTCGGTGCCTCTTTTTTTCGGTGGAAAAGTTCCCGGTCGATTGAGGGGATTACTTAGGGTAAGACGGGAATTGCAGGTGAACAGGAAAAAATCACGAAACTCAGAAACTGTGTCAATCCGTGCTCCACAAAAAGCTCCTGTTGTAAACTTGCATCACGGATGAGGATTTTTCTCCTGGTGCCTCATAATCCGGTCATCGGGACTGATTGATTTTTACACGAAATAATCGTTAAATCGTTTAACCTTAAATCGTTAAAATGAATGTCAACTTTATAATTTGGGGCTCGTTCCTCTATAACTTTTAAATTTCTCATGGATCCATCAACATTTCAGACATCATTACAATTCCACCCCGAAAAATTGGGAAAAAACCATACCTCATCTCCGCCCCTTCGGTATCTGTATGAACACTACCCAAAAGCGCAAACCCGAAAAGCGCAAATGGGAAGCGCCAAGACTCACCCCCAAAAGCGCAATTACCTGTATTGAACATAAGGTGAATAAAATTTGCAATCAAATTTCTCAACTTAATATATGCGCCTTTTTTCATAATTTAGAGTACCCATTTGCGCAAATGAGTTCCTTCTTCCACCACCCCAAAAGCGCAAAATGCAGATTTGCGCTTTTGAACATCTGCGCTTTGGGAAACTCACCATCAGTATAAACCACGAGCTTTTGAATATCCGACAACGAGATAGAATTCACGAACATGCTCCATGTCCCTTGGGAGAGGACCGATTTCTCAATATTGGTACTCGTCGATCCATCAACATAATTTGCTTCCGATGATACACATTCCGTGCACCCACTCGGTAACGAGAAGGGGTAGGTTGAGCTCCGGAAAGAAATTCATCAAGCGGATACAACCAGCCGTTGAATGGACTGGTGAAGTGCTCACTGCTCAGCTTATGCAAATTAGATTGACCGAGCAGAGTGGCTTCCGCCTTCAACTTGTTGACGCCAGCGAACCCCACTTGTTGCGCGGGTGTTGGCTCAACAAGTAAGGAGGCACTCACGGTTGACTATCATTACTCCACTGATTCCAGCCGTCACGCAAGGGTTGTCACGAGCACGAAGTTGAACGGGAAAATGAGTGACCTCGCGTTCGCGGGAGAAAACCCGGTGCATCGATGAAAATCAACGAGCTGATTGTTGAAATTGTAGGCACAGCGATAGACAAAGAAGGCATAGGGAGTATGGAGCGATCTTTTTGGTTGAAAAGGTTGCACTGGGGGAAAAAAGCCGCTTGAATCTTGAGTCCAGACTCTAGAAAACAATGACAAAAAAAAATACTCTTGATTCAACCGGATTTTTGCTTGAACCGAGAACCAATCCTCTTAATTTGAGCGGATTTCCTTTTGATCCAAGCAAAAATCCGATTTAATCGAGAGTATTTTTCCTTGTCATTGTTTTCAAGAGTCCGGACTCTAGATCCAAGCGACTTTTTTTCTAGTGTGGCTCCTATTGACTAAGGGAGAAAATGATGTACGGACTATAGGGTCTCTCATAGGTCAATGTTAGTTAGTCTATTATCTACCTACTTTGTCCACTGCAACCACCCGCTTCCACCAATTGGATCCTCTATATCTCTTTTGTCTTCTTTGTCTATAGCTTTATCTAAGGGGCAAAAATCATGTCAAGCGGGTTTTTAGTTTTGATAAATATTTCCTCAGTTGAGCATACTGCTTACTCCTGGCAATTTAGTTTTCATGAATATCCCTCTTCTAAACCGAGCCATTCAAGATTCATACAAGGATTGGATTAAATTCTTTGCAGCAACTATTCGAACGCCAATGCAGTCATTTTGCCTCCTCGGAAATTTGCAGGCGCTCTGAAAATCGTCTGAAATATTACATCTTCTAAAGTTTGTGGCAGTTATGATGAAGGGACAGACGATGAAATCGAACAGAATGAGATAAAACACAGGAATGAAAATATTAAAGATCACAAAATACTTCACGACACAAACTGTAATTCTGATTTCATATGACAACATGCCCGATAGATTTTCCAACTTACGAGTATGTGCCTACTCGAAATTTTACTGTAAATCTTTGGAGTTTTGAATAAAAAAATACAAAGAATAAGAAAACAAGCAGTGAACTCCAACACAATGTGTTGATAAGGCGCGTCATTAACTCGCACATATCAACCCCTTTAGTTTTCATTTACAGAGATTTCAAAATAGGCAAACAGCATAAAAAGAGAATTCACGATCCAACACTGCGAGGTCAAAGACGCACCTTGACGAGACCGTGTATTGTGAAAGTAGAAAGCTATTCGATCGAATTTAAGTTTTTTGATCT